CCGTGACCTGCTGGGGTCGCCTACAGTGGCAGGCTGGAGGTGACCCACACCTGTTCCCAACAGCCGTCTTTCCCCAACCCCGAGCTCCAGGACGTCAACTTGGCGGTCTGAGGTTCTCTATGGCAGCGTTGCTGACAGTATGGAAATCGGCAAAAGGCAATCGTTAAACCTTAGCCAGCACACCACTGGCACCGATCTTGAGAAGGTGAGGAAGGCGACGGAGCCCCTCCCAAGGAAGGCGATGGAGCCCCTCCCAAGGAAGCGTCGATATACAGCGTCACACCGTTTCACGTATAATTTTGGGGAACTCACGGCCCCCCGGGACCCTACAATGGAACTCTCAGGTTAAAGGCCCCATGCGTAAGTGTTCAGGTGTTTCTCAAAGCTAGAGAGGGAAAGAGAATGAGTAGATGAGCCAGAGACTGAGCAAGAGATTTGAAATCTTTTTAATTAACTAATTAATTAATTTTGAAAGAGAGAGAGAGCATGAGCAGGGGAGGGACAGAGAGAGAGGGAGAGAGATAATCTTAAGCAGGCTCCGCACCATCCACACAGAGCCCGACTCATGAACTGTGAGGTTCAAGACCTGAGCCGAAACCAAGAGTCAGACGTTTAGCCGACTGAGCCACCTAGGCACCCCGAGAGATTTGAAATATTTTATTGCCACACCTCACTTGATGTTTGGAAGCATGACGGTGTCACCATTTTACAGAGGAGGACACTGAGGCCCAGAAAGTTTATGCATTCTGTCCAAGACTTCACGGATCCTAGCTGATTGAGCTGGGATTTGAACTCTGCTCTCGACGCTATTGGGAACGAAGCTTTGCTTGGAAGAAATGAATAGCAGACAAGGCCGCTGTGGTAGGCAGAACCCTCAACATGGCCCCTCTACATGACCACGCCCTAGTCCCCACAACCCGTGACTCTGTTACCTTCCATGGCAAAGGGACTTGGCAGATGTGGTTAAGATTCTTGAGACGGGGGGATTATTCGGGGTTATCCCGGTGGGCCCCATGTAAGGACATGAGTCCTTCAGAGCGTGAGTGGGAGGGAGAGGACCATGTCAGAGCAGGCTGGCTCTGATGGTAGAGGAAGGAGGCCATCAGCAGTGGCCTCCAGAGCTCCGAGTGGCCTTCAGTTGACAGCGAGGCAGAAAATGGGAACTGTGTCCTCCACCTCAAGAAGCCCAGTTCTGTCACAGCCAGGGAGCAGGAGGCAGATTTCTCCCTCGGAGCCTCCAGGGAGAACAAAGCCAGCTGACGCCTTGATTTTAGCCCAGTGAGACCCGTGCCGGAACTTTGAACTCTGGAAACGATGAGAGAGTATGTTTGTGTTGTTTTAAGCCACTGAGTTTGTGGTCATTTCTCAGGGAAGCCACGGAAAGTTCATCGGGTCACTTCTCTGAAGGACCTCTCAGAAACAGGCCGCGTCCCTCCCACACTGTAGGGAAAGGGGCAGGCCCTGGTGTGGCAGCGGAAGGGAGAGGGCGTCGCCTACTAATGCCAAGCTACCCTGGTTCCTCTGCAGCCCACACAGGAGCGGGTAGCCCCTGGGGTGTGTAACGAGGCCAGTGCTCAGCCGGCTTTGGAATCACAAACCCGGCGTAGGTCTGGCATCGCCACTTCCCAGTGTGGGGCCCTGGCGAGAAAATGGCCTCTCAGAGCCTAAGTTTCTTCCAATGTAAACACTCTGAAAATTACTCCAAGAACATCTACTCTCAGGGCCCTCGAGATAACTGGGGGTGAAGGGAACCCATCAGGTACCAAGAGTGGCTATGGGAGAGATGATTTTTATTGCCGTCAATTCTATCTTCCTGGCTTTTTTTTTTTCTTCGTGTTCCTTTTTCCCTCTGAATCTTACAACATCACTGAGAAGCTAGGTCATTAGTACTTTTCAGTGACCCTCAGCCCCTGCACACAAGTAGATGGAGAACTGGATTTGGGGTCTGGGGGATTCAGCTCCGGATCCTGGTGCTCCCATGTCTGAGGCATGTGGTGGCATCCTGGGTCATCTCCTGGGAAATGTACGGATGATAACATTTATGTCCTTGGCGGGTCCCAAGTGTTGGATGGTCAGAAGCCCACCCTGGTACCTGGCACAACTTCGTGCTCAGGAAATGGCAACTGGAAACAGGCACTGAGTTGAGCTGGCTGTAAACAGGTGACCTCGGCCACCGCAGACTCTAGGCTTTTGTGTGCACTTGACCAAGTGCAGTACACAAATACTTCTGGGCATTGGACGAGGGACTTAGCCCTTTGGGTGCCAGGATGTATAAATATTCATGCCGCTACCCCCTTCCTGCCCCCCTGCTTGGGAATAAGATGAAAACCGTCCCTAAGTGGGTGTGGGGTGCCTAACACTGTTCGCAGAGAGACACTGCACTCTGTGGTTGAAGTTCCCCTCCTAACCGCGTGCCATTAGCCCTGTTGGTCTCGCAGGTCTCCCGTCTCTTCTGTGGCCCCTTCCAGTGTGGAGCCTAGTGCTGACACACAACAACCAAGATCATAATACTACCCAGCTCTTGTCAAAGCACTTGGAACTGGCTCACACGTGGCTGGTTCGGTCTGGTGTTCCATGATAAGCAAACTAAAACCCAAGTTGAGTGACTCATCCAGGGTTACTCGGGCAGTAAGTGACAGAGCTGACTCAGCAGAGTGACTCAGCGCCATGTCGTTCCCTCCATGCTCTGTTGACAGCCATGTGTGTGCTTGGCGATCGTACTTATGGTCCCAGGAAGGATTCCAGGCCTTGAGACCCCTCGAGGTCCCCAGGTGAGGCTAGGTGCCTGGGCGTCGGGCCCAGCCCTGTCCCTGTTGGTCACCCTAGTTCTTGGCCTGTGCAAGGGAGGGACTACAGGGAAAGTGCTTTGTTGGCCTGAAGTGTTCCCTTTTACACCCTTGAACTTGAGGGTCCTGCTTCCCAGTCTCAGGAATAACCACCACGAATCCCTCTGATTCATGGCCAGAGCCGTGCTGTCCACGAAACTTCGTGCCTGCCCTCAGAGTGATTTAACCTCCACCCAAACCACCTGTATCTGGGAGCCAGCTAGCCCGAGCCCTTTCCCAGCACATGCGTCCAGTGGGCGTCATCCTGTCATACCAGCACAGATGAGAACCACTGGTGACGCTCTGTGCCCATGGCCAGAAACTCTGCTATTAGCTTGCCGATGGTGATTACACAGGAAGTAGAAGGGTGGATACCTTTCAAGTCCTTGCTACATGTGCCACCTTATTCCAGTCTTTATAATGACCCCACAAAGCCGGTATTTATGCACCTGCTCCAAAGCATGGAATCAGGGAGGCCATGTGACTTGCCAGAGGTCACTGGCTTGGAGTGGGGAGGACTCAGACCCGGGGTGATGCCTCTGGGCTGCATGCCCCCCATCAGCTCATGCCCCTGGCAGTGCTCTTGAGCTGACTCCGCTCTTCAATTCACTGCGTGTCTCTGGGTAAGTCAGGAAACATCTCTGGACTTCATTTCCTTCATCTGTAGAATTAGAATTGGCTCTTGTGATAATCTGTGGCCGACTACAAGGTTAGAGAGTACAGTCTCCACACAAGACCATGCTTACCTCTGACACCAAGTGCAAATTCAAGGGCCTCCCCAAACCACCCTCAGGCTTGATTATTCTCTAGAAAGACTCACAGACCTCACTGAAAACTGCTAGACTCATGGTTACATCATACAGGGAAAGAAGTGAATTCAGACCAGACAAAGGAAGAGCCCAGGAGCATTCCAATGCAGAGCCCCCACAGTCCTGTCTTTGTGGAGTCAGGAAGGGTCACTCTCCTGATGTGTGACAATGCCCACAAGGTAGCACCAACCAGAGAGGCTCACCCAAACTTGGTGTTCAGAGGTTTTATTAGAGCCCAGTTACATAGGCATGATTGATTGATTGATTGATTGACTGCCTATGGTTGATCTCAGGCTCCACTGATACCATGTGGCCTATATCCCCCACCCTAAGTCACATGGTCTTTTGGCATGACCTGTCCCCACCCTAAGACTGTCAAGTGTGACCACGTTTATGGAAAATCCAGTGCAATCAGCCTCTGCCCTAAAGAGAGGTATGATCACAGGGCACAAAGGCCAGACTTCTCTTTGGGGAAAGTCAAGTTCTTTACTACACAGCTGTGAAGTCCGTTCTAGCTTTTTCACCGTGACACTCTCCCAGGGTTCACCCCCATGGCCCCGAGTACCCCTGAGCTGGTCTCCCCAAGGCCAGCCCCAGCCCAGTCCACTCAAACGTCTCATCTGGCCTCTAAATCCTTATTCTCTCCTGCATGCTGCTTATTAGATGTTCAATTCAGTCATAGTATATATTTATTGACCAGCCAGCAATGGTGTGTCAGGCACTGGTCTAGGCTATATGGATGAACGTCATCCTTGAAAAGGTGTACAAGTATAAGTCGTATGAACAAGGGCTAACACAAAGAAGGGACTCAAATTACAGACTATTTTTTAATATTTATTTTTGGGAGAGAGAGCGACAGAGCATGAGTGGGGGAGGGGCAGGGAGAGAGGGAGACACAGAATCTGAAGCAGACTCCAGGCTCTGAACTGTCAGCACAGAGCCCGATGTGGGGCTCGAACCCACAAACCGTGAGATCATGACCTGAGCCGAAGTCGGCTGCTTAACCGACTGAGCCACCCAGGTGCTCCTACAGGCTATTTTGAACAAACGAATGTTCCATTGACATTGCAAACGTCATGGTTGGAATACGGTCCAAAGAGTATTCTCTTGGAAAGTTGCTCATAGGCATTGTTTCCAGAGAGGTGATTGCTCAGCTTTGGGTCCACTTCAGCCAACAGATGTCGGCCGCCATTGGACTAAAGGCCAAACCAAATCTTAACTAAACAAACCAAGCACGGAATCCTACACGTAAACAAAGAAAAGTCTTCATTTGGGGAGGAATGTTGGTTTTCGGGTTGTTTGGCTTTTCCAGAAGTTTACGATTCCTTTAACTGTTGCTTCTTCTTATTTCCGTGTGTTTTCTCAGCCTGGAGTTGCTGGCAGATGTTCAGTATGCCTTCGGCCTTCCCTTCCACCCTATCTACGAGGGGCAGTTTACTCTGGAGGAGAAAAGCCTGTCACTGAAAATCATGCAATTCTTGTCCAACTTCATCCGATCTGGGTGAGTGGACGACATGTGCCTGCTTCTGCCATCACGCCTCCCTCCCTCCCTTTGAACACTTTGCATTAGTGGACTGCCTCTACCCCATCCCCCAGCCTTTGTGGTCACCTGCCACTGGGCTCCCTGTCTCAGTCCCCCTCTTCTAGCCAAAGCTACCTCTGTGTAGATTAACCTCGGTGAAGGGACGCTCCAGGCACGCGCTCCCTTATTCAGCCGTGTGTGATGCCTCGAGATCAGGGTTCCCGGAGCTCAGTGCTATGGACGCTGGGGCAGGATAAGTCTTCGTGGTGAGGGTGTCCTGTGCATTGCTGGCTAGTCAGCACCTGGTTCTCTGGTCTCCCACCGTGAGAGGACGGTAACCCCTCCCCCCAGGCATGAGAACAAAATATCTCAGTGCCAAATGTCTCCTGGAATACATAGTCACCCCAAGTTGAGAAGCACTGTCTTAGATTCTCAAATTCAGTTAAAATATTCAAGACCCTTCCTTATCGACCCTCGCATCCCCGCACCCCTCTGTTCTAGCCCAAGTACCGTGCCCACTGTCCCCACTTCCAAAACTGGTTCCCCCCCCACACACCTTTGTGTCCTGGCCAGACATGCTCTGGCCACCTAGCATGGTACTCAGGCCCCTGGGAAGGGAAAAGGGGAAAAAGTCAGGTTTCATCCGTAAACCACGCACAGTCTGAAACCTAAAGCCCAACCGAATTAAAAGGGCAAAGTTGAACTTTGTATAGTTTGTTGTAGGAGTTGAGCGGAAAGACAGTTCTTTTAATTCAGATTTAGAAAATGTATGGCTGGAGACATGACAGTGGAGTGGGGCCTGGAAGAATCGCAGGGTGTTCAACACAGGATGCCAGCCCAAAGAAGGCACCCTCAGGTCGAAGGGATGAGAAACACCTTGTTTGGTGAATGTCAGGAGGTCAGACCTGGTGGCAGGTGTGGGAAGGTGCCTGAGTGTAAGAGGATATGCCATCCCCTTCATAGGGAAGGTGGCTCACAAGTGGCAGACAACTTTGCCTGGCTTGCCCCCCCCCCCCCCCCCCCCCCCCCCGCCCAGGCCTTGGACAAAGGGCCCCTAGAGATTGGTTGTGGTGTCCAGATACAAGGACGCCAGGATACAAGGGGACATGGTGACCAAGTGAGCATTCAGAAAGACAGGAGGGTAACGTGAGGTCCTGAGTAATGTTGCTGGGTCATGAACTCGCATCTTTCCTTTTCCAGAAATGGTCTGAGATGGGTGAGGTGAGTCAGGGGCCTTTCTGCCTTTAATCATTTGGAATGCGGCGGGAGAGCACAGCGCTAAACATCAGATCGGGCAGATTCAAACTCTGCCTTGACACCTAAAGATGTGTGATCTGGTCCTTAGACACTGAGTGCAACTGGAAAGTGATCCCAAGTGACAAAAGGAATGACACGTTTCCCTCGTGGATGTTCCTTTCTTGTCATTTTCCCAGAAATCCCAACTACCCACATGAGTTCTCAAGGAAAGCCCCTGAATTTGCCACCCCCTGGCCTGACTTTGTCCCACGTGCCGGCGGGGAGACCTACAAGGAGTTCAGTGACCTGCTTCCCAATCGACAGGGCCTGAAAAGCACTGACTGCTCCTTCTGGTCCAAGTACATCCAGTCTCTGAAGGCCACAGCAGGTGGGGAGGCTGGAGCGGGCAGGGGGCTGGGCAGAGGGCAGATGGGGGCTGGGCAGAGGGCGGACGGGTTGTTAACCCCCTGCATTTACTGAGCTCGCTGGGTGGCAGACGTGGGTGGAGCTCTCTGGGGCCAGTGAATCATAGGGTGCCATCGGCTCAGCATTTTTTCATGAGGAGCTCACAGTACTGGGGGTTCTTCTGTTCTGATGGGGGCAAGAAGGGAAAGTTAGAGATACAGAGAGAGAGAGAGAGAGAGAGACAGAGAGAGAGACACAGGGCGAGGACACCAGGGGCCTGGGTGTGGGATTTCTAGCCAGGGGAGAAGTGGGCATTACCACTTCTTCCTGCTAAAGAGAACTTCCTGTTGAGCAGGCATTAAGGAGAGAAAATGAATCATAACGAGGGCCCTGGGAATACAGAAATAAGTGCAATGCCTTTAAGAAGCTTCCGGGAGAGTGGGGGAGTGAGTGATGTAATCCAGCAAATGGCCCCTTGGCTTTCCCAGCACCACGATGGACGTGTGCACCCAAGCCAGTGGGAGCCTAGTGGAGGGAGGGTCTGGGAAGGCTTCCTGGGGAGGTGATGGTGGGGCTGAAGGTTTTTAGAATGGCAGGATTTCTTCACGTGGCAAGAGATGGGAGTGGAACATTCAGCAGGGAAGGGACCTTGCCCAACATGCTTTAGACGGCTAACACTGTAATAGCCTCCAAGGCCAAGTGGCTCTCTGTTGAACCTAAGTCCCATTGTACCCTTAGCATGACCGATGGTGGTGAATCTGATGTCCGTCCCCTGGAAATGCTCCGCTGTTGAGCAATCATTGGGAAGGCCCGTCAGAGGCTGGGCTCTCTTAGGGCCAAGGGGGAAGACATGGGGGGAAGACCTGATTGGACTGGACCAACCTTGCCTCTCCTGTTTCAGACGAAGCCAAGCAGGGTCCATCAGCAGAGAGTGACGCGGAGGACCCGCCGACAGGAGAGCCAGGCTCCAAGAGCTACAGCAAGTAGCTGTAGCTGCTAAGACGTCCCTGCCCAGTCTGCCAACCCCACCTCAGGCTGCCACCAAGGGCATCTTATTCTCTAAAATAGCCACTAACTTTCAATAAAATGTCTACATGCAATGACGCATGGGTGACTCGGATGTGTTTCTTTAAGACAATCCTTGGGGGACGACAAACCACATGATCTTCCTGAGGCTTGAATCCCAGGCTGCTACTTCCTTCCAGCCAATATTTGTGGAACATTCTCTCTCCCCCAGGCCCCGTGCTGATTTGCCAGGGAGGCAGGGATCCTGCCCTCTGGATGGAGAAAAGGACAGGTAAACAGGTGTTGAGAGTAACACAAGAAAGGAGATTGCATCGAGGGTGGGCTCCAGAGTTATACAGTCCCACCCGCACGTTAGAATTCTCTTGTGAAGGTTCCAGAATGGAGACGGAAGACCAGCTGGGCCGGTGTAATATCCTAAGCAAGAGACAACGAGGTCTGAATTAAGGCCGTGAGGGGCGCCTGGGTGGTGCAGTCGGTTAAGCGTCCGACTTCAGCCAGGTCACGATCTCGCGGTCCATGAGTTCGAGCCCCGCGTCAGGCTCTGGGCTGATGGCTCAGAGCCCGGAGCCTGTTTCCGATTCTGTGTCTCCCTCTCTCTCTGCCCCTCCCCCGTTCATGCTCTGTCTCTCTCTGTCACAAAAATAAATAAACCTTGAATTAAGGCCGTGAGGGTAGAAATGGGGGAAGACAGAGATCTGAGAACCCTTTTAGGAAGCAGAATTGATAGGACTTGACTGAATGTGAGCAGGGTTAGAGGAAAGGAGATGAATTATTACCCCAATTATGGTTGCTTTGGGTTCCCAGATAAGCAACAGATTTTATCACTTACCCCCCTAAAGGACACACTTATGAAGGCAAATCTGTTTAAATCTGTCTTCTCTCTCAATCACACACACACACACACACACACACACACACACTCCAGAGAGACAGAGACAGGGAGACAAAGCAAGAGAGAGAGAATTAACCCAAAGTAAAAGCAAATGGAGCTGGTTAGCAGTCTCTGTCATTTATGTGGTACGTCCTACGTTTACGTACATCCATCTCATTGGGGCATAGACCAGACTCACTATTGATTCATATGTTGGGACCATCACCCCCATTTTGCAGATGTAGAAGGGGAGTCTCAGGAAGGGTTGTGGTGTGCCTAATTTCATACAGGGGAGAAGGTGGACAATCAGAGTTCAACTCAGGTCTTCCGGTTTCTCTATTTCCTTGCGCTCTCTAGACTTCAGATACGTTTATAGTGACATTGTGTGTTGTGCAAAACCCTCCTGAAAGCACTGAGGACCTCAGGTAACCTCTAAGCTGCTTAGAGGATCGATCAGTTAGGGTAGTTCAGTGCCAGAACCGAACACCCAACGGAAGTGCCTTAACCAAAGGATACTGCGGGAGGGGGGTAGTCCTAGCATTGGTTAAGGTCCCAGACTCTTTCCAGCTCTCCTCTCTGCTGTCTTCAGCACATGGATGACGTCTCACTTCACTGCCGCAGTATGGCTGCCACAGTTCCAGACATCACATTTGCTCTTGACGACATCCGTGCTGGAAGAAACCAAGGCATGGTATAAAGGGCCTTCCCTTCAGGTGTCTTTTTCCTTTCTTGGAAAAATTTCTTCCCCAGAAATTCCCTTTACGTCTCCTTGGCCATCATGGAGTTGTGTCCCCAGTTGTAGACCAATCAATGACAATAGGGAATGGGCTTACCATGACCTGATGAGACAAACACGACTTATTCCCTAGAGTAGGAGATACCGCTGTGTCAACAAAGCTGGAGTGCAGTTGGCAGAGATGAATGGCGAGATACTTACTGGGTAGAAGCCTGGGAGTTTCCTCAGCCACCAGCACCTTAGTGGGGGCTTCGAAATAAGATAGACCTGGGCATGGTCCCATGCTCTGCCAGGTGTTCACAGTAGCAGAATGACTTGGAATAATTCCTTTAGCCCAGTGGTTCCCAGCCTTGGCCATTGGCTAGAATCATCTGACGCCTTTTACAAAATCCCAATCCCAATACCACATCCCAGATCAGTTAGATCAGAACCCTGGAAGAGGAAGTGGGTGGGGGCAAGGCATCAGGGAATTCCAAGGCATGGTCAAGAATGGACTCTACTCTGGGGCGCCTGGGTGGCTTAGTCAGTTGAGCGTCAGACTGCGGCTCGGGTCATAATCTCACAGCTCGTGAGTTCGAGCCCCGCATCGGGCTCTGTGCTGACAGCTCGGAGCCTGGAGCCGCTTCTGCTTCTGTGTCTCCCTCTCTCTCCGCCCCTAACCCACTCGCATTCTGTCTCTCTCTCAAAAATAAATAAACATTCAAAAAAAATTAAAAAAAAAAAAAAAGACTGAACCCTACTCTTAAAGTCAGCCCTCGACCCAAGGGCTTGGAATAAAAATTTAAAAAGAATGGACCCTACTCTTAACTTCTCTGACCTTTATTTTCCTTACCTGTAGAATGGATTCCATGAAGTTTACTGGATGAGCAATGCTTAGCAAGGTGCATGGTGGAAGCACTTTTATTTCTGCCTATTACTCCCCATTTGTGGGAGGCAGAATAACGTCCCTCCCCAATTCGTAGACCCTGTGGAGGTCTAAGGCTACACAACAAGAAGGCATTAGGTCAGAGTTAGAGTTAAGATTGCCGATCAGCTGACCTTAAGATGGGGAAAGTGATTACCCAGGTGAGCCCAATGTGACAACAATGTACTAACAATTACACGGGGGTCCTCAAAAGTAGGGGAGGGAGGCAAGAGATGGGAGGTGAGAGACAGCAGTGTGAGATGGCCTCAGCCCAACATTTCTGGAGTTGGAGGAAGGGATTGAGTGGCCCCTAGAAGCTGGAAAAAAGCAAAGGAATGGATTCTCCCCTACATCTTCTATAAAGGAATGCAGCCTGCAGACAGCTTGATTTTAGCCCACTGAGCTTTGTGTCGGATTTCTGATCTACAGAACCGTGAGATAATAATTTTGTATCGTTTGAAATCCATACATTTGTGACAATTTGTTCCAGCATCCATAGAAAACCGATATATTGTTATCCCTCACCAGAGGTGTATTTTATCCTGCCCTTGGACCAAACCTCAGGCATAGCTCACTGTTTTCCTGATAATAAAAAGTCCACTCCAGGCTACTAACAAAACCCCAAACCCTCCATCATTGGCCCGGAAAATAGGTCGTTCTCTTTCTTTAACATGGTTGGAGGGGGTGATGGTCTCATGTGGGTGGAACCAGATGGGGCCGCCCCCTTGGTCAGCCTTGCACGACGGTCTAGCATGGGATACTACCTACTATTTGCCCTCAGCCTTTGAAAACTGAGCTAGAAAACATCCCACCTTAACATCCTGTTACAATAATAATGCCTGCTTTGCGAATCCGCCCTGCAGATTGAGGGCACTCATGTGTGTGAACGGAAAACAGTGAGGCGGTGTTCATAAGTCCTTATAGTTAACAGTCCATTCAGTGCGCCCACTAAAGGCCAGTCCAGGAGAAAGCTATGGGTGGAAAATCTGAGGGATCCAAAGGCCAGGCCATCTGGGTCCCTGCCCTGAAGCAGCTCACAGAGAAGAGTAGCTAAAAAGACAACGCACGACCGTCAGACTGAGCTGCAGGGGACCCGAGCCCACAGCCCGATGAAGTGAGCCAGAGAGAGAAGATGTGCATCCCAGGCTCCCACGGCCAGCCCCTGTCAGTGCTGGTTTCAGAATGGCGGCCCCAGGCTCCAGCTCTTTCTCCTACACCGCAGAGATCTCTCTGGAAGTCCTTGTCTATCCCCAGATGGGACGGGCCAGCCTGAGGTAAACCAGGGCGGCCCAGAGGACACCCCCTCCGCAAAGATCGGGAAGGCCACGGGACCTCACCCCAAAGCAAGGGTCACTGAAAAGTCAGGAGGTGAGCAGGGCACCATTTCACACAGAGTGACCTTAAGGATCAGTAAGAGAGGAATCAAGAAAGGAAGTGAAGAAATTCGCTGTAAACCCAGTCATCGGTCTGAATCAACTTCCTCTTGAGCTGGAAGCTAACCTAAAGGGAGAGAGAAGGCTAAACGACTTCCTCGAAGGGAAGTTGTAACATGTGCCTGCAGGGCCCTCCACCTCCCAAGCCCCTGCACAGAGGCAGCTGAGTGTCCAGAGCTCAGGGCCTCCCCCACGGTCCCCACGCAAGCTGGGAAAACAGGAACAGCTCCTCCCAGGCCATGCAAGACCCTCAGGCAGTGTTTCCAAGACAGTTACGAGCACATGAAAATCAGAGATTCCTGTTTCCAATCTTTTCAGAATGCATAGGTCTAAGGCAGGGTTCAGTAATTAGACTTTCAACTAAACAATACCTGTACCTAAGGAATTACTGCCCCGTGTCCCCCACCTGCCGTCATCCCCTCTGCAAGAGTTGTCAGAGTTTTTACCTCCACCCGGTCACCCCCATGACTCTGGATTGGTGAGTTCACCTGTTTCCACGATTTACCACCTTCACCCCAGACCTGTTGATTTCCTGCTGAGACAAGAGGACGGTTCTGCTCCCTCAGTGCCACCCAGCCTCTCCCCCCACATCTCCAAAGGCAGGATGAGAGCGTACTTATTTCTTCTTTCGGCGAATTTGGCAGTTCTTAACAGTGCCTCTTCCTTGTTCCATCCGTGTCCCAACAGTCCCTCCCTGGCACCTTCAGTGTTGAGCCTGTTGGCATCCTTAACCCTCCCCTTCTTTTCCTCTGTGGTTTTACTGTCCTTGTCCTTGGGTTTACTTGGTCCTGCACCTTCATGCGAACGAACCTTCCATGCTTTGTTCTATGGGGTAATTCCTACAATTGAAAGCCTGTTAACTTCATTTACCATATTAAGAGTTTACATACATGTAATATATAAATATATTTACATTAAATATATTTACATTAAATATATATTTATTTTATATGTTTTATGTATTTTAATTAATACACACACACACACACACACACACATATCACAGGCCAGGCAGTA